CAGCCCGACTCAGCCTCGTTGTCTCTGGCCCTAGACCCGCGATTTTATGAGGCCAGAAAAACTGTGAATTAGGACCCGCTAGCCGGTACTAGGCCAAGTGGAAACGCAACCAAAGACGGGCCGCTGACGTAACAGCCCTCTTAAACCGTGCTCCGCGCTGTAGTGAAAACGCGCCATTACTGACCTCCCTTTATATTAACCTGTTTTTTTTTTTTTTTTTTCACAAAACAGTGTCTGAGGGCTTCTTAACATTTAACAACCTATTAATGTGTCATACCCACTTAACGGGAAGAAACTCAGCTAACTGACGATATGAACCATTTTTACCGAAACAAAACACAACTATAACGCCAAGCGTCTGAATTAGCGCTATGCGAAAGAGTGCTAACGCACTTAGCACATAACTCATGGTAGAAATATGTAATACCTCATCGGATCTGCACAAACAAGATATCATATGAAAGCTGAGATTCCACAAATTCCAATGGTATACGTATCATTACTGTGCGACCAAAACTCAGGGCAGCGAAGGCGAAACCAGACAACACACAACTTAGCTTTACGGGGCCAAAACGGCAAATACGTCTTACCTTTGCTGTTTTCTGATCAAAAGTTGTGTTGAATGGCATTAAAACGCTGCTGAAGGTTAATCCATAGGTTAATCTAATGTGTCTGTGTCACTTTGAAATGATTACTGATAATCCATCATAACATTTATGTAAAAAACTGAGTTTTCTTATAATAATAATAATAATAGATTTATTTTGTTAGCGCTTTTACAGGTGCTCAAAGACGCTTTACAGATATAGTGAAAAGAAAAGAACAAATAAATATATATAGTTAAAGTTAAAGTCAAATAATACAAAAACAATCACACATGAAGAGGTGAGTGTTTTGAAGCTGGTGAGGTCAGTGCAGTCTCTGATGGGTTGGGGGAGTGAGTTCCAGAGGGAGGGGGGCAGCGACGGAGAAGGCTCTGTCCCCCCAGGTCCGGTGATTGGTGCGGGTGGGATGGATAGGAGGTTGGCTTCTGATGAGCGGAGGCAGCGGGAAGTGGTGTGGTGGTGCAGCAGGTCTGTGAGGTAGGGGGGGGGGGGTGTGGTGGTGCAGCAGGTCTGTGAGGTAGGGGAAGGGGTGTGGTGGTGCAGCAGGTCTGTGAGGTAGAGGGGGGGGGGGCTGGTTGTTGAGGGCTTTGTGAGTAATCAGGAGGACTTTGAAGTGGATTCTTTGACGGACGGGGAGCCAGTGGAGGTTCTGGAGGACGGGAGTCTCGGGAGCGGGTGTGGGTGAGGAGGCGGGCAGCAGAGTTCTGGATATGTTGGAGTTTATTGAGGAGGTTGGATGGGATGCCGTAGAACAGGGGTGCCCAACCAGTCGGGGGAATCTCCCCGCGATCGACCGGTCGATCGCGGGGAGATTCCCAGTCGATCGCGAGATGTGTCTAAAAATAGAACAACAATATTCTGTTTTATCGTTAATGTCCTATAACATAATTTTCCTGTGCCAGAATAATGCACTTGAACGCATCAAAGCTTTGTGATTGGCCGGCGTGACCCCATGTGTCGGGGCGTGGCTGGTGGGCAGTGGGCACTATAGCTGACGTTGTCCGTGTCAACAGGAGTGACAGTCCGCACACACACAAGACCGCAATTATGGCAGAAGCAAAAAAGCCCAAAATATATAATTTTCACTCCGAGTGGGAGGATGATTATTTTTGTATCTATTCCAATTCAAAGTCCATCTGTCTCATCTGCAATGCGAGCGTGGCTTTATCGAAGAAGGGTAATTTAGGAGCGGCATTTCAAAACAGTGCACAAACGCTACGAGACGGAATTCCCTCCTAATTCTGCCCTACGCTCCCAAAAGGTGAGGGACCTGAAAGGACAGCTAAATGCACAGCAGTCCATTTACACCAGGCCCAACAACAAGAGCAAGGCTGCTACCATAGCATCTTATCGTGTCAGTCACGTTCTTGCCAAACACATGAAGTCTGTCAAAGACGGCGAAGTTGTGAAAGAAGCATTCCTGGAGGCTGCCGACGCGCTTTTTGGGGACAGTAAAAATAACAGTAGCATTTCAACAGGTTTTTGATATAATAAAAACTCAAGTTAGATACCGTTATTAATCAGCTGTAAGTTTTAGTTTGTTTGAACTTATTCATTATAATTATTGTACAAAATGGTATAAGAATGCAAACTTTAAGATCTGTTCTGTTTAAATTGATTATAGTCTATTATCAATTCAGGTTAAGAAACTAGTGTTGCTTGCATCCTATTTTAAAGGCATTTCTTTTTATACTCTACTAAAATGCAACAAAAAAAGGGTTTGATTCTATTAATTTTGTCTTTTTTATTGCACTTTGGCAGCAGATTCCTGTGTAGCTTCAGATCTGAGTTGTCTTATTAGTAAGCCTAATTTATACTTTTGTAGCAACACTATTTTTATATAATGACAAAGAAAGGGTTCAGAGTCTTTTCTTTTTTTCCTGTATCATATGTGGCAGCACTGTTCAATGTTTCTTGAAAACATGACCCACTGTGTGACGTGTGAATAAACTCCCAACTCTGTATCAACAACACTGTTGTGTAACTTCAGTTAAATACTTGTGTGTGTGTAGATTAGAAAGAGGTAAGACAAAGGATCTGCAGTATTTTATGAAGTATTCATCGTACAAAGGTCAGTTTTATACAAGTAGAAGTGTGTATTTACCTGGTAGTAGGCTGTCAGTAATGGCTACGCCTCTCTATTTGGACTGGTAGATCTCAGCAGACTGGCAACTTTAAAAGTAGCTCTCGGTTCAAAAAAGGTTGGGCACCCCTGCCGTAGAGGATGCTATCGCAGTAGTCGAGTCGTGAAGTGATGAATGCATGAATCAGGGTTTCAGCAGCAGAGGAGGAGAGTGATGGGCGGAGACGGGCAATGTTTTTGAGGTGGAAAAAAGCGGTCCTGGTGATGTGATTGATGGTGATTGAATTTGAGCTGCCTGTCGAAGATGACTCCGAGGTTGCAGATGTGAGGGGGGGGAGATGTGTGGCTGTCAATGGTGAAGTTGACATTCTGGATGGTTTTGGTACGGGATGGGGGGCCGATGATGATGATGTCTGATTTGGCACTGTACAGTTGGAGATAGTTTGTTTGCATCCATGCTTTTATTTCTGAGAGACAGTTGAGAGTGGAGTGTGTTGTGGGGGTGATGGTTTTTGTTGAGATATAAAGTTGGATGTCATCGGCGTAGTAGTGAAATTGAAGGATGTGGCGACTAATTATTTTGCCAAGGGGGAGCATGTAGAGAATGAAGCGAAGGGGGCCAAGCACCGAACCCTGGGGGACGCCTTGGGACAGAGGAGCAGTGGAGGAGGTGCAGTTGTTGATAAACTGATGTCTGTCGGTGAGGTAGGATTTCAGCCAGGAGAGTGCAGTGTCGGTGATGTTGAGCGATGATTCGAGGAGGGACAGCAGGATGGTGTGGTTGATGGTGTCGAATGCTGCGGTGAGGTCGAGAAGGATGAGGATGTTCAGGTTACCGGAGTCAGAGGAGAGGAGGAGGTCGTTTGTGATTTTCAGAAGAGCTGTTTCGGTGCTGTGTTTTGATCGGAAACCGGATTGAAATGGCTCAAAGAGGTCATTGGAGCTGAGGTGGGATTTGAGTTGTGAGGCAATGACACGTTCAAGTATTTTTGACAGAAAGGGGAGATTTGAGATGGGCCGGAGGTTGGACATGATGTCAGGTCCAGGTCTTTTGAGAATGGGTGTGACAGCAGCCAGTTTGAGAGAGGGGGGAACTGATCCAGATCTGAGGGAGGAGTTAATGATGGTGGCGATGAGTTGGGAGATGGCAGGGAGGCTCTCTTTAACACATTTGGAGGGCATTGGGTCAAGTGTGAAGGTGGAGTTCATTCCAGTCATGAAGTGGGACAGTTGCATGGGGGTCACAGGGGAGAAGTGGGACCGGGGCTGTGAGGTGAAGGGGGGGGGGAGCCAGGAGGGGAGGTGGGGGGTGCTGATGAGGGTGTCAGATTGCTGTAAATGTTGCTGATTTATGTTTGGAAAAACGAGAGGAAGGAGTTGGTGGTGAAGGATGAGGTGGTGAAGGATGAGGTGGCGTTGTCACAGGGTTTGAGAAGTTTGCTGATGGTGGAGAACAGACGCTTGGGGTTGCTGGAGCCAGACTGAATGAGTTGTGAGTAGTAATTAGACCGGGCTGCTTTGAGTGCGTTACTGTACTGCTGGAGAATATATATAGAGTGTATGAGAGCTGTAACCGGTTTTGGGCATGCTGGCTGCGCATCACTCTCTTCACCAATGGTAATGTTCAGATGGATTTTAGGAACTTCCCTCTCGATTCTATTGGCTCTAACGGTTCAAAAGAGGTGTCAATCATCAAAATCGACCGATGATTCCAGAGATATGGAAAATACACCCAAATGACCCCAGAAGTGTTTTTTTTGCTAAACCTCTCTAAAAAGGTCAAATGTCACATGTTTTGCATCAATCTTGATACAGGGTACTTATTATATGTTATAGTTTGGATTCCTAAAGCTTTTAGTCTACTATCCCATCATTCAAGGGTGGTTTTCACTATAAGTAATGGTTTATTTTTTGACGGACACTATAATTAAAAATGTTTTACTATGTTCAATCTGAATTTACTTTAAAATAAAAACATCTATATTGATTCTTACTTGTCTACATCCAACTCACAGGTTTATCATTGCTTTGAGAAAAAAGTTTATTAATTTACCCCTTTTAAAAGTGAAGTTATAGTCAATTGTTCTGGGAATGTCATTTTCGAGCCTGAGGCCTGAAAAACAGGCTCCGGGCTTAACAGGTTAATAGAACAATAATGTCATTGTTAGCTAATGAATGTTTCCATGCTGAACAACGGCAACATGACAACGTTTTCATTGGTCCCTCTTCTTTAGAGAAGACCAGGAAATGATGGATACACGGATCGTGTTCAAATCAATAGGCACGCAATGACTCTAAATAATAATGATCACGCCACCAAACACACATTCAAACTAAAGGAACCAGCCTGTTTGGGAAATGTGAGAAGTAGAAAGTACAGGTATTTGTGTTCAACATGTAAGAAGTAAAAAGTACAGGTATTTGTGTTCAACATGTAAGAAGTAGAAAGTACAGGTATTTGGGTTCAAAATGTAAGAAGTAGAAAGTACAGGTATTTGGGTTCAAAATGTAAGAAGTAGAAAGTACAGGTATTTGGGTTCAAAATGTAAGAAGTAGAAAGTTCAGGTATTTGTGTTCAACATGTAAGAAGTAGAAAGTACAGGTATTTGGGTTCAAAATGTAAGAAGTAGAAAGTACAGGTATTTGGGTTCAAAATGTAAGAAGTAGAAAGTACAGGTATTTGGGTTCAAAATGTAAGAAGTAGAAAGTACAGGTATTTGTGTTAAAAATGTAAGAAGTAGAAAGTACAGGTATTTGGGTTCAAAATGTAAGAAGTCAAAGTAAAAAGTCGGCAGAAAAATAAGTAGTGGAGTAAAGTACTGATACCAGAAACATTTACTTAAGTACATCCAACACTGTATTTTACTGAAGTGTCATACCCACTTAACGGGAAGAAACTCAGCTAACTGACGATACGAACCATTTGTACCGAAACAAAACACAAGTCTCACAAGAAGCGTCTAAATGAGCCCTGAGCGAAAAAATGCTAACACACTTAGCACAGAACTCACGGTATGGGAAGCAAACCCAGACAACACACAACGTAGCTTTAGGTAGCCAACACGGCAATATGTCTTACCTTTGCTGTTGTTCTGATCAAAAGTTGTGTTCAATGGCTTTAAAACGATAAAAACTCAGCTGAAGGTTAATCCATAGGTTAATCCAATGTGTCTGTGTCACTTTGAAATGATTTCTGATAGTTTTTTGCTAAACCTCTCTAAAAAGGTCAAATGTCACTTGTTTTGCATCAATCTTGATACAGGGTACTTATTATATGTTATAGTTTGGATTCCTAAAGCTTTTAGTCTACTATCCCATCATTCAAGGGTGGTTTTCACTATAAGTAATGGTTTATTTTTTGGACGGACACTATAATTTACATTTTTTTACTATGTTCAATATGAATTTACTTTAAAGGAGAGGTGTCATGCTTTTCCGGTTATTACCCGTCCCCTTGTGTTATGAAGGTTTTTATGCATGTAAACGGTGTGCAGAGTCAAAACCCTCAAAGTACACCCTGTAGCGAGTAAAACTCTAACACAGAAAATACCTCCCCAAAACGCCTCGTTGGAGATACGTCATTGTCCATTTGATTCTTCCATTTTGTTCCGGGTACGGCATGATGTCATGCCGTACCCGGAACGAAATGGACCAATCCTTGGAGCCGTTATGTTACATCCGCGGAGCCGTTACGTTAAGCCCCCGCTGATTGGTCCAAATTGACCAATCCACGGACTTCCTCACACACACATCTGTGTGCAGGGAGCAGGCAGCTCAGCTGACTTCTCCTCCCTGGCTGCAGGCTGATAACAGACAGTTGGGATTGCGGCGAAATTCTCTCTGCAGACCCATTCTCTCTGCAGACCCATTCTCTCTGCAGACCCATTCTCTCTGCAGACCCATTCTCTCTGGAGACCCATTCTCTCTGCGGACCCATTCTCTCTGCGGACCCATTCTCTCTGCGGACCCATTCTCTCTGCGGACCCATTCTCTCTGCAGACCCATTCTCTCTGCAGACCCATTCTCACAGCGTTTATCAACCTTTTTCTTACTCAATATCAAGCCACACTTATTGTTTTTACTTCGGCTGTGACTTTGTGTGTGCTCAGGATGAGTTTGGCTGTGTTTCGCTGTGTATCCTAAACAAGGAAACAACACCTCCGCGGAGCTCAGCGCGATTCACAACGTCCCGACCAATCAGAGCACACTGTGCTCACAGGGAGGGTGGGGGCTGGAGCTTTTGGAGCTACAACGAGCCGTTAAAGGCAGAGAGTGAAATTCAGTGAATACACGTAGTTTACAGAGATGCTGGATGAGAAACCAATGTGAGTTTGGAGAATTGCACAATATAAATCTATTCTAGTATACCTCAACAATGGAATTATGATCAGTGGAAATGGCCATGACACCTCTCCTTTAAAATAAAAACATCTATATTGATTCTTACTTGTCTACATCCAACTCACAGGTTTATCATTACTTTGAGAAAAAAGATGATTAATTTTCCCCTTTTAGAAGTGAAGATATTGTCATTTGTTCTGGGAATGTCATTTTTGAGCCTGAGACCTGGAAAACAGGCTCCGGGCTTAACATGTTAAAGTGAAATCAATTAACATGTTTACATACCTTTTCCAATGTGTCCTAGTAGTGCTCTGGTGGAGGTTTTCTTAAATAAGTTTTGTTTTGAAATGTTTTGAAGGAATCTGTATAATCCTGAATTTAAGATCTTCTACCAGTTTCAGCATTTAGTGTCCACACACACACACACACACACACACACACACACACACACACACACACACACACACACACACACACACACACACACACACACACACACACACACACACACACACAAATAAATCTGCCTCTGTGGCTGTTAAAGAAGACTAATGTTCTACTTATTCACAAATTATACACGTTTAATCGTCTCCCTCGCAGCCAGCCGTCAGACCACAGATGCTGTTTGCTCTGTTCTCATAATTAGACTTAATGACATTCATTGAAATTCATTAAAATGATAATGAGAGGGTTAATCACTGACTTCAAAAGGCTATAAAAGCATAGCTGGTATTCCTTTTAATTGGTATTTTCACAAAGAATCTGGATGAAGTGTAAAGGAAACATAGCTGCTCTGCAACTAAACAACTACACATTGGCGTTTTAGCGTGTCAGTAATTTTATGGACAGAAAAGTTAGATTAAGAGAGTGATTTGTTTCCTCTTGTCGCTGGCTCTGCTTTTGGTTTGTTGTCTAACCTTTTTTTCTCTTTTATCTAAATCCAGATCTGAACTACTGCACGAACCACAAGCCGTGCCAGAACGAAGCTTCCTGCACCAACACGGGTCAGGGCAGCTACACCTGCACCTGCCGACCAGGATTCACCGGGAAAAACTGTGAGATCGAGACCAACGAGTGTGACAGCAACCCATGTAAGAATGGAGGCAGCTGCACAGTAAGTCAATGCAACACAGAAACATTCATAGTATACTTGTATTTGATTATATATGTTGCATTGTTGGAGGAGCTCAGGTCATAAGATGTTCATTGCCATTTCTACGCGTGTGTCGCATATGACAATAAAACCTTTTAATCTGAATCTATTAATAATAATACATTTTTGCAGTGCTTTTCCTGGTGCTAAAAGACGCTTTACATAAAATCAGAAACAGAAACAGCACAAAGAAAACAAAAAGAAACAGAAACAGTAGTCCTAATCCATGTGAGTAAAGTGGGGAGTTTGTTGATCAGAGATTGGAAGCTAGAGTGAATAAGTGAGAGATTTTTTGAAGGATTCAAGAGTGTTGGCCTTAGGAAGCTTTTTATTAACCTGTTAAGCCCGGGAGCCCATCAACATCTTGCAAGCGTCTGAGGGCTTCTTAACATTTAACAACCTATGAATGTGTCATACCCACTTAACAGGAAGAAACTCAGCTAACTGACGATATGAACCATTTTTTACTGAAACAACACATTACATGCCATGCCATTTGTTAGACGCTTTTATCCAAAGCGACTTACATACATTCAATACTGTGGACAATCCCTACAGGAGCAATTTGGGGTGAAGTGTCTCAGGGACTCAACGACATGCTGACTGAAGTGGGACTCGAACTTGCTACCCCCTGATTCGAAGTCCAGCACTATATCCACTGAGCCACAGCCGCCCCACACAAGTCTAACGCCGAGCCTCTGAATTAGCACTAAGTGAAAGAGTGCTAACGCACTTAGCACATAACTCACGGTAGAAATATGTTATACTTCATCGGATCTGCACAAACAAGATATCATATGAAAGCTGAGATTCCAATGGTATACGTATCATCACTGTGCGACCAAAACTCGCAGCAGCGAAAGCAAAACCAGACAACACACAACTTCACTTTACGTGGCCAAAATGGCAAATACGTCTTACCTTTGCTGTTTTCTGATCAAAAGTTGTGTTCAATGGCATTAAAACGCATATAAACGCTGCTGAAGGTTAATCCAATGTGTCTGTGTCACTTTTAAATGATTACTGATAATCCATCCTAACATTTATGTCAATAAGAGTAGTTTTCATATATAGCTGCTATGAGAGCTTCCGGTTTTGGGCATGCTGCCTGCGCATCACTCTCTTCACCAATGGTAATGTTTAGATGGATTTTAGGAACTTCCCTCTCGATTCTATTGGCTCTAACGGTTCAAAAGAGGTGTCAATCACCAAAATCGACCGATGGGTTCCAGAGAAATGGAAAATCCACCCAAATGACCCCAGTGGTTTTTTTTCTAAACCTCTCTAAAAAGGTAAAATGTCACTTGTTTTGCATTAATCTTGATACAGGGTACTTATTATATGTTATAGTTTGGATTCCTAAAGCTTTTAGTCTACTATCCCATCATTCAAGGGTGGTTTTCACTATAAGTAATGTTTTTCTTTTGGACGGACACTATAATTAAAAATGTTTTACTATGTTCAATCTGAATTTACTTTAAAATAAAAACATCTATATTGATTCTTACTTGTCTACATCCAACTCTCAGGTTTATCATTGCTTTGAGAAAAAAGTTTATTAATTTACCCCTTTTAGAAGTGAAGATATAGTCATTTGTTCTGGGCATGTCATTTTCGAGCCTGAGACCTGAAAAACAGGCTCCGGGCTTAACAGGTTGAAATCCACCAATCAGAAGAGAGTTCTCTCGTCAACCCATACTCACCATGTTTGCTTTTCCCTCTTCTTTCCTCCAGGATTTGGAAGATGATTATTCCTGCGCCTGCCCTCAGGGTTTCTACGCGAAAAACTGTGAGATTATCGCCATGACTTGTGCAGATGGACCGTGTTTTAATGGAGGAACATGTGTGGAAAACGTCTCCGATGGATACAGCTGCCGATGCCCGACCGGGTTCATGGGATCAAACTGCGAGAAGAGAATCGACAGATGCAACAGCAACCCCTGCGCTAACGGTACGAAACACCTCAATATCAATATTAACAAGAAGGAAGAGAATTCAAAAACACCCAGATCTTTTTTTTGGTTCACTCCTGTCAGTACTTGCCAGCTAGGTTACATTTTTACAGAATCCACAAAACAACAGCCAGGCCTTTTTAGTTTGTGTCGGCTGATACAACTCTGTGATAATCTAGAAGTTCAGACATGTAGGCGGCCAACATTCATCCACTTCCTGTAATCAGTTTCTCCTCCATTTCCCTGTGTAGCAGATATTGATGCATGTCGAGAGTCTTGGCTTTGTGCCTTTTTTGCTTTGTGAGAATTAGAGGATTGAATTGTGTTTGAGGGTCTTTGTTTTTAGAAGCTGCGAGCTACTTGAAATCTTACCTGTGTTGTTGGTATAATAGTTGGAGGTTTGCCAAGCAGCCAAAGTGTCCTGCTACTACTGGAGAACTAGAAACTGTTATGCAGGTTAAACAAAGATTATGTAACCATGGATCCAAAGCAAAGATTGAGCTGCAAAAGTGGTCGAGGTGCTTGACATGTGCATAGTTTTCTTATCTGGTAGTTAATCTGCTTATAGATCTTTACTTGATTCACCTGCTGCAGGCTGTTTAGAAATATTTAGACATTTTTCTCACAGTTCGTGACACATACCAACCAGTTGAACGCTGTTCATCATGAAGGGTGTTGAAGGGTTATCCCATATCTTGCATTAAGTTGGAACAGTATGTAATTTAATAACAGTACTGATCTGTTTTATAACATAATAGGACAGTGATTGCCTCAGTTCAAAGGCCACTGCTTGAAAGCAAGGACTAATAAGTTGTTTCATGATAGTTAACTCATTACGGTCAATGACCTTCGTGTCAGTGTGAAAGAAACTCACATTTCTCCCAGAATGCACACATGATGTTTGGGTTTAAAGGTCCCATGTCATGCTTTTCCGGTTATTACCCGTCCCCTTGTGTGTTATGAAGGTTTGTATGCATGTAAACGGTGTGCAGAGTCAAAACCCTCAAAGTACACCCTGTAGCGAGTAAAACTCTAACACAGAAAATACCTCCCCAAAACGCCTCGTTGGAGATACGTCATTGTCCATTTGATTCTTCCATTTCGTTCCGGGTACGGCATGATGTCATGCCGTACCCGAAACGTCCGCCGGAGCCGTTACGTTAAGCCCCCGCTGATTGGTTCAAATTGACCAATCCACGGACTTCCTCACACACACACACTCTATGTGCAGCAGCTCAGCTGATTTCTCCTCCCTGGCTGCAGGCTGAACAGACAGTTGGGATCGCGGCGAAATATCAAGCCACACTTATTGTTTTTACTTCGACTGTGAGTTTGTGTGTGCTCAGGATCCTAAACAAGGAAACAACACCTCCACGGAGCTCAGCGCGATTCACAACGTCCCGACCAATCAGTGGAAATGGCCATGACATGGGCCCTTTAAAGCTTCTCATCAGATATCTGAATGCATGTCAAACTCCTCGATTGTCACGTAGGAGCCTCTGAACACGTCTTATCTTCAGTCTGTCAACACCAACACGTCTTACCTCATTATTGCAGCCACAAACACGTCTGTTTTTAGCAGGAGTTCATCTGTCTTTCTCTACCTGGTTGCACTGTTTCTGGGCAGAAATCCAGCAGTGGCAGCCGTTCTCAGCTAATCACGGTTCATTCTCAATGGAAATGCTTGGTCTTGTGTGCCAAAAAAAAGTTTAACAAGAGAACTCAGTCCGTTGCACCTTGCTTTGGCACGCAAACTGTTTATGCACCATGTTTGGATGCACGTTTACTGCAGGTAAATTGCTCTTTTACAAAGCATACCATTAGTTTCCATTGGCTGACATGTGGTGGAACAAGTTTCTGCAAGCTTAATTTGCAATTCTTCCAACCATTAAGGGTTGTTACAAATCAGGTATTAAAAGTTTAAGAGTTGGGATGTTTTTACAACCTCCTCCACCTGTTCTCATGTATTTTCTGTGGAAGCAGACAGATAATCAGGATCAGGCGGCTCCTTACAACACAATATAAAACTTTATCACCTGAATATTACACAGTTATCGTTTTGAGTTGTCTCTGAGGGTCCCAGCTCAGTTTTCAGTCGTCCCATAGGTCCTCATTAGTCTGCAGAAACCCGCCGCCTGCTTGTCTTCAATCTGTAATCATTCCTGCCTCTCAGCGAGCTTGACAGGGGAAAAAAAAGCCTCTCATAACTGCAGAGTGGTTGCTGGTAGCTTCGCTCTGTTTGCAGTGTTGCAACACATCAGCTGCACAGAACAACCAAATATGGAGCTGATTCAGGAGTTTGTTTTTACAGCGTTTATTCTGCAGTTTGAGCCTGAGTGTGTCGACCCCACAGTCATTACAAAACCAGTGTCCTTAAGTCCTCTCGCCTCCTTCCTTTCCCAGTTAAATGTCGAACAGAAATGGGTTTGCAATCTTTAAATCCCTGCCAAACCAAGCGATCATTAATGATCTCCATAAAAATAATCGGGGGAAATTAGATAATTCTGTGGTTCACTGCTGGTCTGTTCCACTGATACTGGAAAACATTCCCTCAGGATGTTTCTAATCACACACACATGTCACTCCTGATGAGTGTCAGCTGTTGAGAGGAAATGTAAAAAACATGTGTTCCTCCCTCTTCACCACTCTCTCTTTTTTAGTGCTAATGCTAATATTAAGTCTCGACTCTGGCGTCCCACAAGGCTCCATCCTTGGTCCTCTGTTTTTTAAATTCACATGCTGTTAAAAATATGTAATCTAATACGTTTAGATCTGCCCATTTTATTTAGCTTACATACTTAACTCCTATCTATCTATCTATCTATCTATCTATCTATCTATCTATCTATCTATCTATCTATCTATCTATCTATCTATCTATCTATCTATCTATCTATCTATCTATCTATCTATCTATCTATCTATCTATCTATCCATCCATCCATCCATCTATCTATCCATCCATCCATCCATCCATCCATCCATCCATCCATCCATCCATCCATCCATCCATCCATCCATCCATCCATCCATCCATCCATCCATCCATCCATCCATCCATCCATCCATCCATCCATCCATCCATCCATCCATCCATCCATCTATCTATCTATCTATCTATCTATCTATCTATCTATCTATCTATCTATCTATCTATCTATTCTTTATGTAAATATATTTAACATGTTCATACAAATGCACAACTTTTTACTTTGATATCTTGTTTTAATAGTTACTTTTTCACTTTATCACTTTATTTTTGCTGTATTTTAATTTATTTTCTATTTTATCTATTTTTACCCTGTGTGAAATGAATGAAAATGAAAAGTGCAATATCTTATCTTTATCTTTTTAAGTTTGTATTTTTAACTAAACTCTCCTCTGTCTTTCTCTCTAAAGGTGCTCAGTGTCTGGACCTCGGTAATCGAGTCATGTGCCGATGTCGCCCCGGTTTCTCGGGCCTTCGCTGCGAAACAAACATCGACGATTGCTCCGGCAACCCTTGCCGAAACGCCGGCACCTGCGTGGACGGCATCAGCGATTTCACCTGCACGTGCACGCTCGGATTCACCGGAAAAGATTGCTCCGTGCGAACCAGTCCCTGCGACCAGTTCCCGTGTGAAAACGGCGGGAAATGTTTCACACATTACACCGGCCCTGTATGCCAATGTCCAAAGGGTTTCATGGGTGCTAGATGTGAATACAACAAACCAACTGCAACTCCTCCAGATAAGGATTCGTCTCCCGCGTTGATCGCCGCCATCGCTTTTGGTATCGTGACGTTAATTCTGCTCGTTGTTGTTGGCGTTCACATTCTGAGGCAGCTGCACCGCGGCAGGAAGCTAACGGCTATCACCCGGTCGGTGAAGAACGACCTGGAGGCGGTGAACAATCGCAACGCAGTGATTGGTGGACTACCAGGGTCACCACTGAGGGAAAAGGAGGCCTTCCTCATACCTGGAGGGCAACTTAAAGTGTCCAATAAGAACGCAGCGCTGGTGGAGAACGGTGGAGACAGCATGGGTATTTTCAGAAACAAGATGGCAGACTGTAACCTGGCTAAAGACGAGCAACGCCTGGCCAAGTTTGACCTGTAAGAACCTAATGATAGTTTCAAGTTTCATCCTTTCTTCGTCTCCTTCTCTGAAATCTCATCTGTTCTGTATACAAATGACTTCTTGAGTAATAACCCCATCTCTCTGTTTTCTCCTGCAGTAAAAAGCGTGACTCGACCATCATCGTTCCTCCTCTTGGGTTCGGAAAGGACAGTCTTTATCAACCGGTTTACATCATCCCGGAGAAGATGGAGCAGTGTGTGTTTGCTACTGAGGTGAGACACAAAACAATTCATATAAATGAAGCTGTGTTTGTTAACTTTGACCCATAAGAAATCATCCTGTACGCTGATGACTGACCGCTGTTTCTCTCTCTCTCTTCTCAGGTTTAATCCACACCAACTTTCACGCTGAAGACCTCAAACTTCTACATCCAGAGGATCTATTCTACACATAATATGTTATTTAATATTTATTACTGCTGCTCAATGGAAAGAAACAAAAAGAAAAAGGACTTTTTCTGCTTCGATATTGATAATGATCGGATGACAATGATTCTGAAATGAAAAGAAAGAAAGAAGAAGAGAGAGGAGGGAGTGAATGTCCGGCGTCATTTGCACTATTTATCTTTTTTTATACTTTTAAATCTTAATATAATATCCCTGTCTGTGTATCTGTATTTCCTTTGGATGAAACGTGAACAAGAAAAATACTTTACAACCAATCGGAAAGACCGGTGCCTTAGCTTCCTTATCGTCGTGTGTCCTGTACAATCTCCTAATCATCAGAGGACATTTTTCTACAAGAAATGGAGACGGGAACTTTTTTATCTGAGGTTAAACCACCTGAACTTTTTTATCTGAGGTTAAACCACCTGAACTTTTTTATCTGAGGTTAAACCACCTGAACTTTTCCCGTCTGAAAGCTGAAGTGGACAGCTCTGTGGCTCCGTCCATTTTCTTCTCTGTTTTGCTGTCTTTGAACGTGAAGCATCACATCGTGGCCTGTTAGAAGAAGCCTTACAATCCTGCTGACTCTGAAGTGCCTCTTCTGCAACAGGACTCCAATCCAATGACTTTAATCGTGTCACAAATCCTGTATTTTACAAGCCCAGGAAACATGTATCACTGGAGACATTTATTTTAAACTCTGTGATGTTTCAGGTGAATCAGGGAGAGTTCGTAACTCTATCAACCACCAGCTGTTTCCCACACGACAATTTATAAAATATATATGAAAAGAAAAGTAGGCTGGATGAAGGTCTAGCCTAGCTGGATTCATCTTGCAAATCATATCATAGTTTTTCCGTTTGTCTACCACGTTTTTTTTTATACCAAGTTTATTTTTTTATGAATCAAAAAGCTAAAACTTGCTGCCTTTATCAACCACTGCAAGTTATTTTAAAACAATTTAAAATACACCAGCTGCTGTTCTGCATCACAGGCACAGCTCCGGGTGTTAAGTGGTTATTTTTGAAAAAAGAAAAATACCTTGAAGGACCACAGAGAGAGTTTTTTATTCCTTTTTTTAAATGACCTAATCTATTTGATACCAAAAATACGTGTCGTTTCTGTGTAGTCGTGTCTTTGTATTATCTTCGTTAATTTAAGAAAGCAATGCAATGTGTACATATCCTCCAGAAAATAGTTTTTCCCTATTTAATTTTGCCTTTTTGTAAATAATTGTGTATTTATGAAAGAGAATTGTATATATGTCTATGTTATTGTCTCCGCCAGAATCAAGAAATATATTTTTTCAGAAATAAATTAGTAAAATAACGTCATTGTGTTGTTTCATTTTCTTACACTTTGTCCATATTGACTCAATTCATTCAAGATTCAAAGGTTTTATTGTCATATGCACATAAGCTATAAGCTAAATGGCAATGTAAATCTTATGACCCCTCCAACAATGCAACATATATAATAAAATACAAATAAAAAATATTGCAAGAAGTCTATATACACGTACATAGAATATGATATATACAAGAACAGAATGTAAGATATTGTATATATATGTATAAATACGGTTTATTACGGTAATAATTATTTAAGTAAATTGCAAGATGACAAACAGATGAATGTTTATGGATGTTCTCTAGAGAGCTCAGGTGATTAATAGTCTTATGGTCTGTGGGATAAAACTGTTTCTGAGTCTGATAGTTTTACTCCTGATGTTTAAACAGTTTGTTGCTGGGGTGATTGGGGTCTTTTGTAATCCTGTTGGCTTTCTTCCTCTCACCTCACCACATGTTTGACAGATAAAAACAATCGGTAACGCTTTATATTAAGGTACACAAATTCAGGTCAATTAGAGTCAAACTACTGGTTATGAACAAGACTTCACTTTAAAATAGGGGACATATTCTTCGATAGAAATACCTAATTTTGAGTTATTTTGACACAATTAACCCTTTTAGTTTCATGTCTTGTTACATACGAATAGATAATATTTGTTAAGTGTTATTATGGGAGAATTACTATTCTTGTGGTACTGCTGTCTTATTAGGCCCATATTGAGCAGAGCATATTAAGACCAAAACTCATGTACAACAACTTCATTACTTACAATAAATAAACACTTCAGCAAATCTGGATCAGCTTTTTAGAGATTTGGGTACGGAGGAAAAGAGAGCAGGTTTTATTTTCTGACGCTGCGTGAGTTCGCTGACACACCGGGGACACGTGTTTATGTAGAAAAGACATCAAAAAGTGCATTTTGCATGATAGGTCCCCTTTAACAAATAATGACAATAATCACGTGAAAAAACCCAGGAAACTAAGCATTTTGGGTTACAGGTTGAATAAGAGGAGTAGCTCCACCAAGTACATACATACCTATTATTATTATTTATTACATTGTTTTTTTATACCCCTGGAATAATCACTGTATGCACACGTATGTTGTGATGTTTTAGTGAAGGGAGAAGCTTTTCTTTCTTTCATTGTACATGTATAATGACATTAAATGGTTCTATTATATTCTAGTAATCCATCCTCCTCCAACATTACCGGGAAATCCATTCAATTTTAGGGTTTCTTTTGCTCTAAAATCTGACCAAAAAACACATCCTAATAAACGTTACCTGATAAATAATCAATAAACTGGTTAGAAAACACAAGTGGGTTAAGAACCAGGTCACTAATGTGTGAGAGTGAGGATGAAAAAGGGTTGAAAAAGCTTCTTCTGAATCGCTGTTTCTGACAAAACACACACTGGCAGCACCTGCTGATATAAGCTCTTTGGTCATGGGCCTCTCTCTCTCTCTCTGTGTGTGTGTGTGTGTGTGTGTGTGTGTGTGTGTGTGT